AGAAAGAGAGAGAAACAGAGACAAAAAAGAAAAGTATAAGAAGCCATTTTAGAAATCTATTTGAGAACCTGGTGGCTATCTCCAAACATCATTCTAGGGTCCCCAAAGTAACTCAGAAGTTACTTAAATTCCACCAGGGATATGTTTGAAGGAATTCTACCATAACCTAGACAAGCACTAGGAAGATGTATATCGTTGAAGTTTTAAATGCAATGTAATATTTATAAATAGTTGAATGAAGATAAATTAATAAGAAAAAAAAAAATAATGGGACTACAATGGATGTGCATAGAAAGGTTCCAACAATTAGCATGTGAACAAATTATACTTGGGACATGTGTGCCCTAACTATACAAGATGTGTTCTAGCCGGATATATTAAGAACGGGATGGGAATGCTGTGCAGTCACCTAGTAGAAAGGCTCCAACAATTGGTATGCAAACAAAGTATACTCAGGACATAAGTTGTGTGCCCTGACATATACAAGATGTTTTCTAACTGGGACATTTTATATGAACAGAATGGGAATTCTTTACCTGGTCTATAACTTGTGAGTGAGCTTCTTCTGCCATTTTTGGAGCAACACCTCCATATTTTGCAAGCAGATCTGCCTAAATTTGGAGAGAAGTTACATGGTTAGGGGGGAAAATAAGGTCCGATAGGTAGCTGAAAGGTAACATAAATATAAAATTAAGTGGCTAATAAGAATAAGCAGTAAGCACGATCAACTTTTCTAATACCAAAAGCTTTCTACAATCTAACCAAAAAAAGAAAAACTCTATCCATTACTGACCAACTGCCACGTTGTTTGAAATTTCTCTAGAAAGAAAAAAAAATGTAGTGTATAAAAATATAAAATTCAAGATATTTGAATCAGCATCTCAAAAAAGGCAAAAGCACACACACAAAAATGATTTGGTGATAAAGAAAAAATATATATCACACCAATTGCAACTCTTAAGTGCATGTTTGTTAATTGTTTAAAAAAATGATAAAATAATGATTTTTACCTCTTTCAAAAACTGCAAAAATGAACTCGTATTATTTTCTCTCTTTTTTAAATGAAACCAATCCAAACAAACTCGCACTAACGAAGACTGAATATCCCCCACTCAAATAGGATAAAATTGAGCATCAATTCCACATTCACTTACACTTAACTATAACAGCACGAAAGCGAATTCAGCATAGACAATAGAACACCGTAGTACCTGAGACGACACCACTTGGCTCAGAATTTCACCGTTGCTCCTCACCTATACATAGCGCACACAAAGCATAAACGACAAAGCACACAAAAAGAAGAATTAAAAAAAGGAGAGCTCCGATTACTTACGACGGCGGCGGCGGTGTCGTCGCAACTGGTTTCGATGCCCAAAACGACTGCATCGCAGTGGCGTTGCGACGCGGAGGAGGAGATGCCGCGGGAAGACGCGGCGAAGGAGGATTTGAAGGGAAGTTGGTTTGTGCGGAGAGTGGAGAAAAGCGAAGGTGGATTGCGGAGGAAGTTTAGGCGCGAAAGTGTTGTAGAGAGAGAAAGTAGCATTGTTGCAGAGATAGAGAGAGAGAGAGTGGAACACAAGAAGCTCACTCCGAAGGAAGGGATGAGATGAGAGTAAAGAATGGGACCCTTCTTTCTTGTGCACTCTTTTATAATATATAAATTTATATTCTATAATAATATAATAAATGGACATGACTCTTTACTCGCATTTTTGCCCAATTCACTCATGTTAGTCACATTTTTTCAATTCACTCGTATTTTATATATATTTTTAGTATCTCCTAGAATATGAGAACTCATCTTTCTTAGATATTTCCAAGGGATTTTATGCGTATGTTCCAATAATTAATTTTGTATCATAAATAAATATTTATGATCAAATATTTCAATAAATTCTTACATTATTAAATATTTTAGTACATCATTAACTATATATATAATTATAAACAATCGTATAGATTTATTAAAATTAATCATACAGTTAATTACTTTTTAAAAAAAAATAGAAAAAATTACAAAAATGACATCTTTCTCCACTACTAAACTAATCCTGATAATTTATATCATTCAGTTAATTGCTAGTGACAATTAATACCTTATACTAATATTATTAATTACGTGTAAAACAAAGTTAATTATTATCCAATATTTTAATTATACTATTATTTACTTATTGATAAAATATATAGAATTATATTTATTTATTTTTAACATTAACATCTGACACTATTTTTTATTTCATGATTAAAACCCATCCCAATTGATGAAAAATACTTCTATTGTTGCTGCTTTTGGAGTCATCCTTTTTATCTTTATATCAGACTTGATCATGGCATGACAAAATATTCAATATCTGATGATGTAAATCACTGGTTGAGGGAACACATACACCTTAATATTGAACAGATTGCCACAGATATTATTATTAGTAGTAGTACTCACAAGAATATTGCTTTGGAAATCTTGGTTACTAGTGTTAAGTGCGTCGCTAAGCACAATCCACTTTTTCAAACCTTTATTACGGAGTTCACCATAACAAAATTTTACCTAGAAGTTTAAGCTCAAACTAAGAAAATAGTTTGTGTATCATGGACTTGCACCTACAAAACTTATCACAGAAGATGCAATCAGTGAATTATTGAAAAGTCCTTGCAGAATTTTGAAACTGCAAAAAACAAGTCCAACTACAACTCAACAGAAAACCAACAGTTCTACAAAACACTTGCGTTATTGATCATGTTCTATGAAAGCCTCAAGTAAAATGTAGTGAAAATTGATGCCACTCTGCGAAGTTATTCCTTCAGGTGCACTTCAGGGAATGATGGGGTTGAAGTAAGATGAGGAGGCAGGAGATTATCACTTAGAAATTTTTGCAGCCAGTTCTCTCACCAGCTTAGCAGCTACCATGGCAGTCATTCCATCAACGGTATCTCGTTGCGGGTTGAGTTCGACCACATCTCCAGCAACAACATCGCCTTGAAGATTGTGCAGGATGTTGAGAACATCGCGGAAAGAAAGACCTCCTGGCTCTATGTGAGACACTCCTGGAGCAAAGGCAGGATCTAGGCAATCCACATCTATTGAGATATAAACACCTTTAACACCTTCCCCAAGTTTCTGCAAAAGCAAATCTATAAGGTTTCTAACCAAAAAAGCAAAGATGGTTATTATTGTTAACTTGTTATTATCATCAAATAAAAATGCAGAAGTTTGTCCATATAAATGACTGAAATTTCTTATATACAAGGCCATATTTCAGAGACAATGTCAACATACACCCTCACCCAATTCTTTGTAGAAAACAATTTGATTCGGGTAAGGTATCCTTAAAAATTTGTTGTACTTCCCAGAGGTTTCCTAAAGGCTACAAGGTTGAGGGAATATGATTTTACAATCACGGTTAGTGAGCATGTATGCCTTGGTATCATGCACGTAGTCAACATGGATACAATAGGTAAGTTTCTGTTACAGAGTGACATGAAATAACGTGGGTGTGTGTGTTATATAAAAGAAAAGACACATATGCCCCCATGCACACACATATAGACACAGAGAGAGGGGAGAAGGATAGAGACCAGGTTCTCTAAAAAGTGGCGATCTCTTGAAAATGTTCGCATTTCGTATTGCTCAACACCAAATTTTTTGGCTTGTGCACGCCCTTCAGCTGTTATTGATCTTATACCAACCTGAAATAAATTGATGAAAGCATGAAGAATATGTTATATATATCACCACAACATGGATGAAGCTTGAAATATTTAGGCAAAAGTCAAAGAAATGAAGCTAAAGAAACCATGCATCTCTTCTTGGCCATTCATCAGATAAATTCAGCTAGTAGAAACTACAGAATCATTTTAATGGGATGGTTGATATAATCAAACTAAATTTGAACAAAACACATTTGCTTTGCAAATGGTTTGATGAGGAAATCAACTGAAATAGTTCTACCTACATTTTGGTCAAATTAAAAATTGTTTCAGATAATCAATAATAGATAATACTACTGTGCAAGGAATCATAACAATATGAACAAGGGTAAAAATATCTTAGGTTAAATATAACGGTCATTGGATTACTTCATTTTTGAATCATATACATAGAAGGATTAGCCACATCATCCACATGTCCTACTCCAGTTGGTTGTCTTATTTCCAACGGTAATGATTACCCGTCCTCGGTCCTCATCAAGTTATATTTATCATCTAAATAAAATCCAGGTCTATTCTACCAAAAATTATCAGCCAGTGGTGCAAAGCCAGCCGTAAATTAATAACAGAATATAAATGCTAAAAGAGATGAAACAAATAGCATACTATCACAGACAAAAACCATGGTTTATGTTCAGAAATGCCTTAATAAACTAACTGTTTAGGTTATAAATATAAATGCTGCAAACATCAAAGAATTGCCTGCAAGAGTCGTCGAACATAGTCACCCTCCATCACTCGAGCAAAAGAAGAAGCATGAGAATAAATGTTTCCTTCAAATGCATCATAGTTATCCGGATGTGCATCAAGATGAAGAACATCAACGGGTCCTCCAAGCTTCTCAGAGACAGCTCTGATAACTGGAAATGATATTGAGTGATCACCACCTAAAACTAAGGGGCGTAATGGATCCTGAAAGAATGTAGACACCATGAGAGTTAAGTTATGCGAAGTTCAAACAGCAGGTTATCATAAAATGAGAAAATTATGTAATTCAAGTGATAGTACATTTAATGCAAAAAAAAACAAATCCCATTATTTTCACACAAAAAAAAGTTTAAGTTTACGAAGAAATAAATCCAATACAGGGACCATCAATTATTTGGTCTCTTCATGTCACACATGGATCCTGCCCTACTCATGTTAAAACAATTGCCAAGAGGCCAGTATTATTTTCAAAACTTATTTACGATTACTAAACTGATTAATCAGGACTGAGGAACTGCTGATTTTGCTCTCTTTAAAGGCCTAAGCAAATGCAATTTTCCATGACTAATCTATTAAACTGACCAGTTTTTCCTTAATGGCAGTGGTTTTTCAAAATGAATGCCAATATTAAAGTTAAGACGTAAGCTAATAGTGTATAGCTAGTTACTTCTGAATTCCCACGAGTCCACGACAAATGACCATCTTATAGTAATAGATATAGCATATAGAAAAGGGTGTCAAATTGACCTCAACTGCATTTTTCTTTTTAGAATTTGACTAATTACAAATCTGTGGCATCAAAAACTGATAACAAGAACAAAAGAAAAACTGAGGAATGTGAAGCTTCAGAAAATATTACTTACGGGGAGGGGGAAAGATGCAATCAAATTCTAATAAATAATGCTGATACAAGTCAAACTACTCCACAATTTTTATTTTTATTTTCGTTTTTGCTTTTCTGTAAACTTTATCAAATACTGTATAAATCACAATGCATTGAAAATAATGAGAAATGGTTGAATTAAAAAACGAAGAAATTTCATATTCTGCATGTTGTGAAAAGTGTAATTTAATAATTCCAAAAAATGTGACAGCATTCAAAGCACACGCACACAAATTCCCAATTTACCTCATCCATTACTAACTTTACAGATTCACCAATTACATTCATTAATCTGTGATCATCTACCCCACAATCTCGAATTTCTTGGATAGGGACATCACCAACATCAGTTAGCACTCGAGCATCTTGTAATTCCTTGCCTGCAGAATCAACATTGTGCTATTATAAGCTATTTAAGCTACTTATTATCATAATTTACAAGTAATTGAAGGCCCAAAACAATTGCTTCCATGACCATGGTAGATTCACAGACAAAGAATAACTAGATACAGGGAATCAGGCATCATTATAGAAGTCCATGCTATCCTCAGAGAATACAACCAGAAGAGAAAGGAAAAAAGTATTAAATTGCTTTCATGTTCTTCATTTATAAAGCAATAACAGTTTTATATAAATGTTAACAACATAAAAGTTTAACAACAACATAAAATCCCAATAATTTTAAGAACCAGAAGAAATAATATCCATAATTTAAAGGTTTCAATTGGGTAAGAGTTTTGTATTCTTGAATCTTCTGCTAACAAGATTCGATGCCAAGAATCAATTACCGTTTGCAAATGAGTTTACAAAGCAAAATTTAAGCTGTGCCAAAACCAAAACACTTTCAAAGATTTCTACTTTCCAGAGGAAAACCATATGACTACCTTCTTCAGTTGTTGAGTTTGTACTACCACACCAAATGGCCTCCCTAATGCGAGGTGGAGCAAATGCAGGACCTTGAAGGAAAGATGAATTATGTCCCAAAGGAACTCCAAGAAGAGTTGAAGTTGCTTTAGCACCTCCCAAAGCACGCACAAGTTCTCCCTGGAGAAAAACAGCTTATGCATTTATATTCTTTCATGCAAACCTTATAATCAAAATCACCAAAATAAAATATTAAATTGTGGGTCACAAAACTAAATAAACACAAATGCAGTCAAGCAGAATAAACACAAATATGGCATGCCTTAAGCTTTGCTCTTTCTCGAATAAGAGTAAGTGAAGCATCTATGACACGACTTTGGCCTTTCTCTAGTAAAGCAGTAGATACTTTTGCAGCATTTAGACTTGGCATTGAACGGATGCCTCTGCGTGCTATAATTGACATTTCTGTACCAAAAGAACAAAACAATTAATTAATAAATATATTTAGAGGCCAAAGAAATTCTGTCAATTTTACTCCTATTACATGAAACAAAGTAAAAGCATGGTCACATTTATGTAATTAAAAGTGAAAAACAAAAAAACATTTTCTGAAACCAAACACTCCCTAACCTCTCGTCCTAAAACACAAACGACAAAACCCAGCAAACACAGCCATGTGACTCAACTTCTGGCATACATCAAGCAATCTCATCAACCTCCAATGTTGAAACACTAATCAAAATGCCTTTCTTTCTTCTTTTTTGTATTATTAAAATCAAAGTACCAACAAGTAGATGACCAGATTAACTGCACCTTTACTTCCTCTTTTTTTCTCTAATCAGAAAACAGCCTAACAAATATCATAAACAATCATTGATGTTACCATTGAAACAGCTTTAACTTCACCTACACTAAGAAACACTTCGTTTACCAAAAATAATAATATCGAAAAAAACAGAGATCTTTCAATTTTTCCTCTATCTATTTTCCGGAAGAGAAAAAAAAACCAATAAATTGTGGAAGACCCAGAACAGAAGATTGTTCAAAGTCCCGAACTTTAACCATCCCAGATGACAGATTCATCGTTAATTTCTCAGCATGAAAACAACAACAACCGAACGGGGTTTAAAAACTTAAATGGTTACCTTGGAGCTTAGAAGAGAACAGGGGAAACACGTTACTACGTTAGAGAGAGAAAGAGTGAGTAGCGATATGGGAAGTGGCGCTAAGTATAATTGAGTCCACTTTTATAACTTAGATTGGATACTGAGACACAAGCACTAGCGGAATGTCTGCATTCTTTTTATTTTTTATTGACATTTGGATGTGATAGTCTAAATTTAATTTGTTTTTAATATATTATTTCATGTTTTTCATAAGTTTAATATACATAGATATAAGTTTAGAGAAGAAATTTATTTATTCTAGAAATAAGTTTATCTAAATTTTTTATTTTGTTTCATAATTTATGTTATATATTAAATTATTTTATGAATCATAAAATTCTTTTATATATTAATTTAAATTAATGAAATAAAATATTAAATAATTT